GGCTACGGTTTTCGCCAGGGAGATCTTTCGCTTGCATGGGTTACCTAAGGTGATTGTCTCGGACCGTGGGAGCCAGTTTGTGTCCAGGTTCTGGCACGCCTTCTGCTCCCAGTTGGGTATCAAGCTCTCTTTCTCTTCGGCCTACCACCCGCAGTCCAATGGGGCTGCGGAGCGTTCCAACCAGGCCCTGGAACAATTCCTTCGCTGCTATATCTCTGACCATCAAGACAATTGGGTCGATCTCCTGCCATGGGCAGAGTTTGCGAGGAACTCGACTGTCAACTCTTCCTCTGGGATGTCTCCCTTCATGGCCAACTATGGGTTCCAACCCGCTGTATTGCCTGAGTTGTTCTCGCCACAGGACATTACGGCTGTGGATAACCATCTTGCTGCCCTGCGTTCCTCGTGGGGGCAGATCCAGAGGTCCTTGAAGGACTCAGCTCAGCACCAGAAGCTCCAGGCTGATCGTAGACGGTTGCCCGCTCCTTCATACCAGGTCGGAGATCGGGTGTGGTTGTCCACTCGTAACCTCAATCTTCGGGTGCCCACACCGAAACTGGCTCCCCGTTTTGTTGGTCCTTTCCGCATCCTCCGCAGGGTGAACCCGGATGCCTATGCCCTTGCTCTTCCTCCTGGGATGCGTATCTCCAATGTCTTCCACGTATCCCTGTTGAAGCCTCTGGTCTGTAATCACTTTACTGCCTCTCCGCCTCGTCCTATCCGGGTTGACGGTCATGAGGAGTATGAGGTGAGCCGTATCCTGGACTCTCGGTTGATCCGCGGTTGGGTGCAGTTCCTGGTCCATTTGCGTGGTTATGGTCCCGAGGAGCGTTCCTGGGTTCCTTCCGCGGATGTTCATGCTCCTGCCCTCCTCTGCGCTTTTCGCGCCAGCTTTCCCCAGAAGCCTTATGTTGAGCCGTGGAGGGCCCCTTGAGGAGGAGGTACTGTCAAGGTCCTACCTTTCCTCAGGGCTTGTGATGCTCCATGTGCTGGCATCCATCTTAGGTGTCTGCAAAGCATTGTGGGATCCTTTATGCTTTCAGCCCCTGCGGCTCCTCCCCCAGGAGGTGGCAGCTTATCACATTTAAGTCTGCTGTTTGTAGCTGTCCATTGCATTCGTGTCCTGTTTGTTGCACAGCAGCAAGCTCCTGTTTAGTTTCTCATTGCTCTCCTGGATACCGACTCGGCTTTGGCAAGACTCCTTCCTGGCTTCTGAACCTGGCTCTGGCGACCATCCTTCCTGGCTTCTGACCCTGGCTTTGGAGATCATCCTTCCTGGCTTTTGACCCTGGCGACCATCCTTCCTGGCTACTGTTCTACCCAAGTCATCCGCTGTTGCTGTTGGACTTACATAGACTCTGTCTTGTTTTTCTATAATAAACCTACCTTTAATTGCACCTCCTTGTGTGTCTGGCTCTTCGCTCCCTGACAAGCTGCCTCTGGTAACAATTTGGAGTTGCTGGGTGCCTGGTGATTGGTTGCTCCCCCCCTTCTAACCTTTCGCCCAGTACTGTGCTGCCTTATCACTCTCCGCTCTACTGAATGGAGGGCGGGAGCTGCCTCCGGTATCTTTTTGAGCTGCTAGGTGCCTGGTGATTGGTTGCTAGGAAGCCAGGCGGTCCTAACAACCAATCACTAGCTTATTAATATGAAGAAATAATTCCAGCAGCTCCCCACCTTCGCCATTTCATCCAGTACCGTGCTCCCTATCACTGTCCGCTCAGCAGTACAACTGTGTAAGGTTGGAGAGTGTTACCTAAACACTGGTGGGATTTTTTGTATGTGTGTGTGTGTGTGTGTGTGTGGGGGGGGGGGGTGGTGATGTGAAGGGGACAGATGACACTGCCTTCGGGGAAAGGGAGGGCAGAGGATGGACACTACAATGTGGGGGAAGGGTGAAAAATTTTGAAAGGAAGTACAGGACACTACTAAGGAGGAAGGGGGGGGGGAGGGAGGCAGAGGTCACTACAGTTGGGTAGGGGGTTTGATGTTAAGGGGGTATTACTTTGGGGGGACGGTGATGTAAAGAAGGGGCACAGAACACTGCTATGGGGGCAGAAGACACTACCATGGGGGGGCAGAAGAATCTGCCATAGGGGGTCAGAAGACACTGCGGGGGGGGGGGGGGGGGGAGGGATGATGTGAAGGGGAGCACAGGACTCCACTGTGACATGTGATGCATTCCTCATGCCATTCTTTAGTGGAAGCTTGATATTTATTTTTTTCAAAAAGTACGCAGAAATAAAGTAATCTTCTTGCAGCGCTGGGTGATGGATACACAAGGAAGGAGATAACACAGTAGAAGTGACTGGGAACACACAAAGGAGAAACACAGACTGGGAATGCATTAGTGCTGGTAATGAGGGGCTGGCTGGAACTCACGGAAACTCACTGGTGCAGAGAAGCAGATAGAGGCTGAAGTGCAGAGGAAGACGAGGCGGTGAAGGAAGTATATAAGCTGGAAGGAGAGCACAGGGCCACTGGAGAGGGATACAGACCAGGGAACATGACAGTCGCAGGAGCAGGATGGGAACACAGGGGGTCTCGCTGCAAATGTGCTGGCATGTTGTTTAAAGAGAGAAATCCACACACTAGCTCTTTAGAATAGTGCCCCTTCTGTGATAGGCTGCAGTGCTGGAGGAAGCAGGTGATTGGACAGAGAGGGAATGACCGGGAACTGTAGAGTGAACAGGAGAGTGTGACACCATACATACAGCATACAGCATATACCATACAGCAGAACCTTCCCACCATCAATACTATGATCTTCCGCAGATCTCCTCCACCATCCACACTAAATGCTCTGACAGCTCTCCTTCCCCCACCATCCACACTACATTCTCTGACAGCTCTCCTCCACCATCCACACTACATTCTCTGACAGCTCTCCTCCACTATCCACACCACATTCTCCGACAGCTCTCCTCCTCCCACCATCCACGACAGCTCACCTCCCACCATTCACACTACATTCTCTGACAGCTCTCCTCCTCCCCCACCATCCACAATGATAGCTCACCCCCCACCATCCACACTACATTCTCTGACAGCTGTCCTCCACCATCCACACTACATTCTCTGACAGCTCTCCTCCCCCCCCCCATCCACACTACATTCTCCGACAGCTCTCCTCTCACCATCCACACTACATTATCTGACAGCTCTCCTCCCGCCATACACACTACATTCTCTGACAGCTCCCCTCCTCCACCATCCACACTACATTCTCTGACAGCTCTCCTCCACCATCCACACTACATTCTCCGACAGCTCTTCTCCACCATCCAAACTACATTCTCCGACAGCTCTCCTCCCACCATCCACACTACATTCTCTGACAGCTCTCCTCCCACCATCCACACTACATTCTCTGACAGCTCTCCTCCACCATCCACATTACACTTTTCTGTTGTTAAAAAGACTAATATTTCCTAAATACTGGTGTTGCACTAGGTTTTCTTTTCTATTGAAAGATTTCCCACACTCTGAACATGAATAAGGATGCTCACCCATGTGAATTTTCTGGTGTGTAACAAGTACACTACATTATCTGACAGCTCTCCTCCCACCCTCCACACTACATTCTCTGACAGCTCTCATCCTCCCCACCATCCACACTGAAAGCTCTCCTCCCACCATCCACACTACATTCTCTGAGAGCTCTCCTCCACCATTCACACTACATTCTCTGACAGCTCACCTCCACCATCCACAACACATTGACAGCTATCCTCCCCCACCATCCACACTACATTCTCCGACAGCTCTTCTGCCACCATCCACAACACATTCTCTGACAGCTCTCCTCCACCATCCACACTACATTATCTGACAGCTCTCCTCCACCATCCACACTACATTCTCTGAGAGCTCTCCTCCCACCATCCACACTACATTCTCTGAGAGCTCTCCTCCTCCTACCATCCACACTGAAAGCTCACCTCCCACCATCCACACTACATTCTCTGAGAGCTCTCCTCCACCATCCACACTACATTCTCCGACAGCTCTCCTCCACCATCCACACTACATTCTCTGAGAGCTCTCCTCCCACCATCCACACTACATTCTCTGAGAGCTCTCCTCCCTTCACCATCCACACTACATTCTCCGACAGCTCTCCTCCCTTCACCATCCAAACTACATTCTCCGACAGCTCTCCTCCCTTCACCATCCACACTACATTCTCCGACAGCTCTCCTTCCACCATCCACACTACATTCTCCGACAGCTCTCCTCCCACCATCCACACTACATTCTCTGACAGCTCTCCTCCACCATCCACACTGACAGCTCACCTCCCACCATCCACACTACATTCTCTGAGAGCTCTCCTCCATCATCATCCACTCCGACAGCTCTCCTCCACCATCCACACTACATTCTCCACAGCTCTCCCATCCAAACCATCCACAGCTCTCTACATTCACTACATTCTCCGACAGCTCTCCTCTCCACCATCCAACACATTCTCTGACATCTCCTTCCACCATCCACACAGCTCTCCTCCTCCACCATCCACTCTACATTCTCTGACAGCTCTCCTCCCACCATCCACACTACATTCTCTGACAGCTCTCCTCCCACCATCCACACTACATTCTCTGACAGCTCTCCTCCCCCGCCATCCACACTACATTCTCCGACAGCTCTCCTCCCTTCACCATCCACACTACATTCTCCGACAGCTCTCCTCCCTGCACCATCCACACTACATTCTCTGACAGCTCTCCTCCTCCACCATCCACACTACATTCTCTGACAGCTTCCCTCCTCCACCATCCACACTACATTCTCTGACAGCTCTCCTCCACCATCCACACTACATTCTCTGACAGCTCTCCTCCCCCCACCATCCACACTACATTCTCTGACAGCTCTCCTCCCCCCACCATCCACACTACATTCTCTGACAGCTCTCCTCCCCCCACCATCCACACTACATTCTCTGACAGCTCTCCTCCCCCCACCATCCACACTACATTCTCTGACAGCTCTCCTCCCCCCACCATCCACACTACATTCTCTGACAGCTCTCCTCCCCCCACCATCCACACTACATTCTCTGACAGCTCTCCTCCCCCCACCATCCACACTACATTCTCTGACAGCTCTCCTCCACCATCTACACTACATTTTCTGACAGCTCTCCTCCTCCACCATCCACACTACATTCTCTGACAGCTCTCCTCCTCCACCATCCACACTACATTCTCTGACAGCTCTCCACCATCCACACTACATTCTCTGACAGCTCTCCTCCTCCCACCATCCACACTGACAGCTCACCTCCCACCATCCACACTACATTCTCTGAGAGCTCTCCTCCATCATCCACACTACATTCTCTGACAGCTATCCTCCCCCCACCATCCACACTACATTCTCTGAGAGCTCTCCTCCACCATCCACACTACATTCTCCGACAGCTCTCCTCCCACCATCCACAACACATTCTCTGACAGCTATCCTCCCCCCACCATCCACACTACATTCTCCGACAGCTATCCTCCTCCAACATCCACACTACATTCTCTGACAGCTCTCCTCCCTTCACCATCCACACTACATTCTCCGACAGCTCTCCTCCCTTCACCATCCACACTACATTCTCCGACAGCTCTCCTCCTCCACCATCCACACTACATTCGCTGACAGCTCTCCTCCCACCATCCACACTACATTCGCTGACAGCTCTCCTCCCACCATCCACACTACATTCGCTGACAGCTCTCCTCCCACCATCCACACTACATTTTCTGACAGCTCTCCTCCTCCCACCATCCACACTGACAGCTCACCTCCCACCATCCACACTACATTTTCTGAGAGCTCTCCTCCATCATCCACACTACATTCTCTGACAGCTATCCTCCCCCCACCATCCATACTACATTCTCCGACAGCTCTTCTCCACCATCCAAACTACATTCTCCGACAGCTCTCCTCCCACCATCCACACTACATTCTCTGACAGTTCTCCTCCCACCATCCACACTACATTCTCTGACAGCTCTCTTCCCGCCATCCACACTACATTCTCTGACAGCTCTCCTCCCCCACCCACACTACATTCTCTGACAGCTCTCCTCCCCCACCATCCACACTACATTCTCTGACAGATGTCCTCCCACCATCCACACTACATTCCCTTACAGCTCTCCTCCCCCCACCATCCACACTACATTCTCTGACAGCTCTCCTCCTCCCACCATCCACACTGAAAGCTCTCCTCCCACCATCCACACTACATTCTCTGACAGCTCTCCTCCCACCATCCACAACACATTCTCTGACAGCTATCCTCCCCCACCATCCACACTACATTCTCTGACAGCTCTCCTCCCACCATCCACACTACATTCTCTGAGAGCTCTCCTCCACCATCCACACTACATTCTCTGACAGCTCTCCTCCCGCCATCCACACTACATTCTCTGACAGCTCTCCTCCACCATCCACATTACACTTTTCTGTTGTTAAAAAGACTAATATTTCCTAAATACTGGTGTTGCACTAGGTTTTCTTTTCTATTGAAAGATTTCCCGCACTGTGTACATGAATAAGGAAGCTCACCCGTGTGAATTCTCTGATGTTTAACAAGGGCTCTTTTCTGAGTGAAAGTCACAGTCGGACCAGGAAGTGATGTCCCTCACATGGCTTTGAGCAAGTAGATGCTCCGCCCAGAGATCCTCCCCGCGGAGGTGGAATGTCGGTGCTCTGGCTCTGTGCGTCTTCCCAGCACAGGGGCAACTGGATAAGGATTGGTGAAGCCGGCACTCGTCTTCCTGAATAGCAAACTTTATTGAACGAGTAAAATGTGCACAGAAAACGGTTTACGCGTTTCGGCAATAAGCCTTCATCATAGCCACCCCTGCCCCGCACAGTATACAATGTATATATATACAGCATCCCCCAGAAGTGAGTCCCCCCCTCCCCCATGAAGTGAGTGAGTCCCCCCCTCCCCCGCACTGTATACAAGGTATACAATGTATGTATATACAGCATCCCCCAGACATGAGTCCCCCCCTCCCCTGCACTGTATACAATGTATATATAGGTTGGCTTCCCCTCTTATGATGTGCATAGCAGGAAAGGCCTTATGGGGAGCCAACAGAGCGTGACGTCACAGCCGCCCGGAGCCACGAGGAGGCCCGGCGGCCATCTTTAATAAGGGGTCAGTACTACTCTTCATCATTTACTGATACACAAGGAGTGTTTTACTACCCTGTTTTATTACTGCATTTTTCTGAATAAAGTCTTCTTAACTATACTACACTATGGGCTCCGTTTTTGGCTCCCATTGGAGCTAATTAATTTCCAGGATATCCCACTACTATCCACTACCACCAGAGGGAGGGAGCCCTGTATCCAGTTCGTGCACCCATCCAGCCTTACGGGGACCTCTGGACCTGGCAGTTTCTATTACATACTACCAAGACAGGATTACCTACCTTTAGACGGATGCTCAGCTTTTCCGCCTTCCTAAGTGATATGAGTGAATACTGATTACATGCGCATGATTTTAGCGCGTCCGGTGAGTGCGCATTTTTATCATTTGTTCCTGTGACAACTTTCCTTGATACACTGCGACATCAAGTGGATTATCCTTTATATCTATTTTATAAACTGCTTATCTATGCGTATATAATATTTATGGGACATTTTATTATTAATTTATTTACTATTCATATTTAGCGCTGCACTTTTATTTATATATATATATATACACACACAGCATCCCCCAAAAATGAGTCCCCCCTCCCCCCGGACTGTATGCAATGTATATATTTATACACAGTATCTCCCAGAAGTGAGTCCCACCCTCCCCCGCACTGTATACAATGTATATATATACACAGTATCTCCCAGAAGTGAGTCCCCCCCCTTACATTTGTGTCAATATTTGATTCTCTCTTTTCATGTGACAACAGTGAAGAAATGACACTTTGCTACAATGTGACATAGTCAATGTACAGCTTGTATACCATGTAAATTTGCTGTCCCCTCAAAATAACTCAACACACCGCCATTAATGTCTAAACCGCTGGCAACAAAAGTGACTCCACCCCTAAGTGACAAGGTCCAAATTGGGCCCAATGAGCCATTTCCCCTCCCCGGTGTCATGTGACTCGTGTTACAAGGTCTCAGGTGTGAATGGGGAGCAGGTGGGTTACATTGGCGTTATCGCTCTCACTCTCTCCTACTGGTCACTGGAAGTTCAACATGGCACCTCATGGCAAAGAACTCTCTGAAAAAAAGAATTGTTGCTCTACATAAAGAAGGCCTAGGCTAAGAGAAAATTGCCAAGACCCTGAAACTGAGCTGCAGCACGGTGGCCAAGACCATCCAGCGGTCTAACAGAACAGGTTCCACTCAGAACAGGCCTCGCCATGGTCCACCAAAGAAGTTGAGTGCACTTCTGTAAGATACTGTATATACAGTGGGGCAAAAAAGTATTTAGTCAGCCACCAATTGTGCAAGTTCTCCCACTTAAAAAGATGAGAGAGGCCTGTAATTGGCATCATAGGTAGACCTCAACTATGAGAGACAAAATGAGAAAAAAAAATCCAGACAATCACATTGGCTGATTTGGAAAGAATTTATTTGCAAATTATGGTGGAAAATAAGTATTTGGTCACCTACAAACAAGCAAGATTTCTGGCTCTCACAGACCTGTACGTTCTACTTTAAGAGCCTCCTCTGTCCTGCACTCATTACTTGTATCAATGGCACCTGTTTGAACTTGTTATCAGTATAAAAGACACCTGTCCACAACCGCAAACAGTCACACTCCAAACTCCACTATGGTGAAGACCAAAGAGCTGTCGAAGGACACCAGAAACAAAATTGTAGACCTGCACCATGATGGAGAACTTTTTTGAATATTATTATTATTATTATTACATCGAGTTTATATAGCGCCAAAGGGTTTGCTCAGCGCTGTACAATAGGGGGGACAATACATGTCACAGTACAACAAAAACAGACAGTGTACGAGGGGTAAGAGGGCCCTACATAATATATAATATTATGTCATATAAAGATGTTATGAATATAAAAGATGTCACAGTGACTATGGAGGAAGAGGACAGACATGACCATCTTCCAAGATGGTGACCGGAGCGGCCGCATAGACCATAGCTCAGGTCACCTCCACAACTCACCCACTCCTATCCGGGGGGCAGTGGGCGGACAGCGGCCTCTGGAGGTCTCCCCGACCCTCCCTGCACCTGGAGGGGGGGGAGCGGTGCCGCTTGAGCCTCCCGCCGCACGGTCCAGAGCTCCGCTGCAGCGTGCGGCCTGGCAGGGCCTGCTGCGGCCTACCGCAGCTAAGTCCGCCGGGCCCTGGATCAGTACGGCCGCCCGCTAGTCTGCTGCCATCCGGGTAGCTGAGGGTGGGGGGTGGGCACCGGAGGACTCCCCGAACCTACCTGCACCTAGAGGAGGGGAGCGGTGTCACTTAGGCCCCCTCCGAGGTGACTGCAGCACCCGGCCTGGCAGGGCCTTCCGCAGCCTACCACGGCACACTCCCTGACATCCGAGCAGCAGTGAGCCTGCAGCCTTAAAGGAACATCGCACACACACACATCCCTACCCACACCTGAAGGAGGGAACTGGAGCGGGCCTATTTCCACCTGAACCCTGCAGATGAACTCGGCCTGGTGAGGCCTGCCACAGTCTACCACGACGCGGCCTGGCCCTGAGGCCCATCTGTCTACCCCCCCGTGAGTACAGTCAGCGTGGGAGAGGGCAGCCAACACCCACCAGGTCCCCCCGCGAGTGCCCCGGGGGCTGGTGCTGGGAGACCCTATACCTCGTAGTCCCCAGTGCCTTACTTGACCCCATCACAGCGGTCGGGCCAGCCTCTGGTTCCCTGGTCCTTTAGTTCCTAGTACACTCAACTGCCACAGAGGATATCCACCCCCCACAGCCTTATGCTAAATTTCACTTCTACAACTTGGGAACTATACGATATGGAAATCGACACCTGATGGCATGGTTCCCCCCGCTCCTATCGCATACAATCTCTACAGCTGACATCCATCCCTCACCTCCTCAAGTCAAATTTCATCTTACAATCCAGAACTTGCACAAATTGGAACTTGTAGCTTGATTGCAACTATGCTACCACCCCTCTGCACCAGCACCGGGTGCAATAAATCACCGGCACCGGGTGCCAGTACCACCCTTGGTCATAAGACACTTAACTGAACTCAACCTATCTTGAACTTAAGCACGAGAACTCTAGCTGCAAGAGGATACAACGAGATACTCCACTGTATGCTGGACTATCTGCAATCAAGCACCCTGGGAAACATTTCTCCACACCTGACTCTCACTCCGTATACCTTTTAAAATGCCACCTCTACTCCTTTTCATATTCCTCTCCTGCATTCCCAAAATCTGTTTTCTCTGTCCCTCTGCTCCATCCAAACAACTGTACATCTCACCTTCACTGCTTCCATCTCCCTACTACTGCTCTTATCACCTCCTGCTGATACTCCACTCTCCTGTTGACCCGAACACTAGAACTGGAAGACATATGCGCTCATGTACATCCCGCACCCATGCCACCTTTCTCACCCATCTTCTTCTCCTAACCTCTGGGGATATCTCCCCAAACCCTGGTCCTCCACTACCTTGCCCACACACAAGACATCCTCTTTCTTCCGTAAACTACCGCAACCCCCTCAATCTAATATCTGTCCCCGTGCTCCCCAAAACCACCCTCCCATTTTCATGTGCGCAGTGGAACGCCCGCTCAGTCTGCAACAAGCTCACCTCCATCCATGACCTCTTTGTCTCCCGTAACCTTCTAGCGATCACCGAAACCTGGGTCCAAGCAGCAGATTCTGCCTCCCACGCAGCACTCTCCTATGGAGGTCTCATCTGGTCCCACTCACCCAGACCTAGTGGTCGGAAAGGTGGTGGGGCTGGTCTGCTCCTGTCACCACAGAGCACGTTCCAAGTCCTCCCTAACCCTCCTTCTCTTCTTTCGAGACCCACTGCATCCGGCTATTCTCTCCAATCTCTCTGAGGATTGCAGTGATCTATCGGCCTCCTGCACCCATGTCCCGCTTTCTTGACGACTTTGCTGCCTGGCTACCCTTCTTTCTCTCCTCTGAGCTACCCACTATCATTCTTGGAGACTTCAACATCCCTATCAACATCAATAACCCGGCTACATCCCAACTCCTCCACATAACCTCTTCTTTTGCACTAGCACAGTGTATACAGTCCTCCACTCACTCTGATGGGAACACTCTAGACCAGGGGTGGGCAAACTTTTTGACTTGAGGGCCGCAATGGGTTCATATATTGGACCCGGGGGCCGGACCAAGAGTAGATGAATGATGTGTATGTGTCATGTGCCAGTTTCAGGCATTAGCAGCCGATCGGCGATCTCCGGCACATGCGCAGATACGTCGAGGGGGACAGATCCTCATAGGAGACAGATTTTCATGCTACACCGGTCTTCAGGGCGGACTGTGAGAGGAGCCTAGCTCCCCTCACGTTCGTCACGCTGCCCCACCTACACACATCCTGACAGCCATCCTGACAGTATCAGGCTCCGCGGGCCGGATTAAAAGGTCCGCCGGGCCGTATACGGCCCGCGGGCCGTAGTTTGCCCATTGCTGCTCTAGACCTTGTCTTCTCTCATCTTTGCACTCCCTACAACCTTACAAACACCCCCTTTCCTCTCTCTGATCACAACCTCATCACCTTCTCCGTCTCCTCGCCCCCAAACACCTATCCCTCCAAACAGCAAACAATTACCAGCAAAAACCTCCAAAACTTGAAGCCTGCTCCCTTCCACTCTGCAACTGACCAACTTTACAACAGTATCCATGCCCTGTCCTGCCCTGACCTGGCCACTACTGTCTACAACAACTCGCTCTCAGCCAACAACACGAAGCATTAGGCCCCAACTGCTACAACCCTGGCAGACTGACCACACCAGAAATCTCAAACGACATAGTTGTGCGCTGGAGCGATTATGGCGTAAAACCAAATCCCAACAAGCGTTCATCCACTATAAATCTGCCTTCTTAACATACACTTCCTCCCTTCACGCTGCCAAACAAGCCTACTTTGTTACCCTCATTAATACCTTCTCCTCCAGTCCTCGTTGGCTCTTCTCTTCTCTTAACTCTCTACTTTCTCCGCCTCCACCTCCACCCAGTACCTCACTCACCGCCCACGAGATTGCTAACCACTTCAAAAACAAGATTGACACAATTCGTAGAGACATCCACCCCACTTAGCATTCCTCACACTAAAACCCCCTCAACACTTCGCTCTTTTGACCTCGCTACTACCGAACAGGTCACTAAGGTTTTCTCAGAAGCCCGCCTCACCACCTGCATCCTGGACCCTGTCCCCTCACAACTCCTACGGTCACCCTCTTCTTCCATCCTATGCCCCCTCACTCACATCTTCAATCTTTCCACACGCACATCACTCCTATACTTAAAAAACCCTCCCTGGACCCCACCGACCTGAACAACTTAAGGCCCATCTCCCTACTGCCATTTACCTCTAAATTCCTAGAACGCTTAGTCTATAATCGCCTGAGCTCTCACCTCACCAACAACACTCCACTTCCTCAAACTCAATCTTTCCAAAACTGAGCTCCTAGTATTCCCCCTAGCCCGTGCCTCCTCCCCCGACTTCTCCATCAAGATCAACAACACTATCATCAGTCCCACCCCTCATGCCAGGGTACTGGTGTAATCCTAGACTCCAATCTGTCCTTTCAGCCCCAGGTCCAATCGTTGAAAAACTCTTGTAGACTTCACCTCTGCAACATCTCCAAGATACGACCGTTCCTAACCTCAGAAACCACTAAGCAACTTATCCCCTCCCTTATTATATCACACCTTGACTACTGTAACTCCCTCCTCACTGGCCTACCTCATCGCAGGCTATCCCCACTCCAGTCCATCATGAATGCTGCTACCAGACTCATTCACCTTACTAACCGCTCTGTATCTGCCACCCCTCTCTGCAAATCCCTCCACTGGCTTCCAGTTGCCCAATGGATAAAATTCAAAACACTAACATTGACGTATAAAGCTGTTCATAACACTGCCCCAAATTATATCACCGATCTTGTCTCTAAATACCACCCAAACCGTACTCTCCGCTCCTCGCAAGACCTCCTACTCTCTAGCTCTTGTCTCCTCCTCCCATGCTCATCTCCAGGATTTTTCCAGGGCTTCCCTCATCTTCTGGAACTCCCTACCCCAATCTATCAGGCTATCGCCTACTCTGCTCACTTTTAGGCGATCACTGAGAACCTATCTCTTCAGGGAAGCTGTGACGATCGCAAGATCGCCGCCACCAACATGCAACAATCCACGACCGCTGCCACCAATATGTCACGGTCGCGGCGTCAGACCCCAGACCTTCTCACCAAACTCGTTACCAAAGGACTAGCCAATCTAAAACCGCGATGTGACGTGCGTAACGATGCCACGCCCAGCTGCACCCTGCACAAAGATTTTCCAGCTAATGGACTACAATCTGTGTACCTGCAGCCTGAGCGATTGTTATTGGGTCAGGGTAATTATGCAATTAACCCCTTCACACTGCCACCACCTCCTTTTTGATCAGAGAAAGAGGAAACTCAGCAATACACTAGGATGATTGGTTAACCATCAGTATCCTATCTCTACAGACCGGTTATACAGAGGGTTAATGTCATCGGACTGCCAGTGCCTCTCCCATCCCCCGCCATATCCCTCCACCCCTCCCTTCCCCCTGGCACATTCCGATCTCTGTGGAGCTTCCATGGACAGGGCTGGGCCGGCCGTTGCCGAGGCAACCTAGCCGCATCCCACATGGTGTTCAAAAGACCCCCACAGGAAGCAGCCTCTCTCTCTCTGTTCCTGTCCATGCTGCTGGAATCATCTTGCTCCCAGAAAGATGCTGGGAGGCTCGGGTGAGGGAGACCGAGCCTCCCCAGCCATCCCCCCTGCGCACTCTGCAGACCCCCAAAAGGTCAGGTCAGGACTGTAGCCCTCTGCAATACCCCAGGGTTGGGAGTCTCCACAGCTCTGCATGAGCCTTCTCCTCAAAGGTCAGACCCCACAGCTCAGACCCTGCAAGTCTGTAAGCCTGTCTACTGAGCACCCTTGCACCCTGTCTGCTGCTGAGTGCCCTGGGAGCTGCTGCTGAGGGACCCTGCATACTATCCATGGCTGCGTGTCCCTGGAGGCTGTCTGCTGCTGAGTGCCCTGGGAGCTGCTGCTGAGGGACCCTGCACACTGTCCGTGGCTGTGGGTCCCTGGAAGCCGTTCGCTGCTGAGTGCCCGGGGAGCTACTGCTGATCGCTGGTTGTCCCTGGAACGCCAACCGCTGGTCGCCCCTGTCTGGAGCCGCCTGCTGCTGAGGGTCTGCAAGGTGCTTACCGTGAGTGTCCTGAACTGTCCCTGTTGTGCGCACTGACCACCTGTGTCCTGAACTGTCCCTGCTGTGCGCACCGACCACCCGTGTTCTGAACTGGCGCCGCTGTGTGTGCACTGACCACCCGTGTTCTGAACTGGCCCCGCTGTGTGCGCTGGCCACCCGTGTTTTGAGCTGTCCCTGCTGTGTGCGCTGGCCACCCGTGTCCTGGGCTGGCCTTCTTGTGCACGCAGACCACCTGGGTTGTGCACTGCTCTGCTACACGCCTGGACTACCCTTGCTTGAACTGCCCCGTGGCGTGCCCGGAGTATAGCTACCTGTGGTGCCCGAGTGCTTGAGCCATCGCTACCCGTTGAGTCCCAGTGAACCCAATGTCCCTAAAAAGCTGGGTGGGAGCTGTGCTGAGGCCAGACTCCACAGCTAGAGTCCCGTTGAGTCCCCAAGACCCCTGCCCAGGGGTAGGTTGCCCGCCTGTTGCCCGAGACTCCAATCCGCTGTCCAGTCACGGAGGGAGCTCGGCTAATTCCCAAAGCCTAGGGGTGAGATTGCCTGCCTGTTGCCCGAGACCCCTGCCCAGGGGTAGGTTGCCCGCCTGTTGTCCAGGACTCCAATCCGCTGTCCAGTCACGGAGGGAGCTCGACTGAGGCCCCAAGCCTAGGGGGGATATTGCCTGCCTTTTGCCCGAGACCCCTGCCCAGGGGTAGGTTGCCCGCCTGTTGCCCAAGACTCCAATCCGCTGTCCAGTCACGGAGGGAGCTCGGCTGAGGCCCCAAGCCTAGGGGGGAGATTGCCTGCCTGTCGCCGAAGACCCCCCCATGTCTGAAATCGTGCCTGGTTTGCGCACACATCACCCTCCCTGCCATTTCCCCATTGAGTGTCTGTCATTTTGTTGCTTTAATAAAGTTTTGTGTGTTCTTTACCTTCTCCGTGTGCTCTGTCCTGCCTACGCTTCCATTACACTGGTGGCAGCGGTGGAGGACCAGAGCGCGGAAGAAGATAATGGAGAGCGATAGCACCCCATAAGTGCCTTCAAGGAGACCTGTTGAGGTCCCCTTGCCGGCACTTGTAAAATGGAAGGGGGAGGAGTTGTCATGGACTGCCAGTGCCTCTCCCATCCCCCGCCATATCCCTCCACCCCTCCCTTCCCCCTGGCACATTCCGATCTCTGTGGAGCTTCCATGGACAGGGCTGGGCCGACCGTTGCCGAGGCAACCTAGCCGCATCCCACATGGTGTTCAAAAGACCCCCACAGGAAGCAGCCTCTCTCTCTCTGTTCCTGTCCATGCTGCTGGAATCATCTTGCTCCCAGAATGATGCTGGGAGGCTCGCTTGAGGGGGACCGAGCCTCCCCAGCCATCCCCCCTACGCACTCTGCAGACCCCCAAAAGGTCAGGACTGTAGCCCTCTGCAATACCCCAGGGTTGGGAGTCTCCACAGCTCTGCATGAGCCTTCTCCTCAAAGGTCAGACCCCACAGCTCAGACCCTGCAAGTCTGTAAGCCTGTCTACTGAGCACCCTTGCACCCTGTCTGCTGCTGAGTGCCCTGGGAGCTGCTGCTGAGGGACCCTGCATACTATCCGTGGCTGCGTGTCCCTGGAGGCTGTCTGCTGCTGAGTGCCCTGGGAGCTGCTGCTGAGGGACCCTGCACACTGTCCGTGGCTGCGGGTCCCTGGAAGCCGTCCGCTGCTGAGTGCCCAGGGAGCTACTGCTGTCTGCTGATCACTGGTTGTCCCTGAAATGCCGACCGCTGGTCATCCCTGTCTGAGCCGCCTGCTGCTGAGGGTCTGCAAGCTGCTTACCGCGAGTGTGCTGAACTGTCCCTGTTGTGCGCACTGACCACCTGTGTCCTGAACTGTGTCCGCTGTGTGCACCGACCACCCGTGTTCTGAACTGACCCCGCTGTGTGCACCGACCACCCGTGTTCTGAACTGTCCCCGCTGTGTGCACCTGACCACCCGTGTTCTGAACTGTCCCCTCTGTGTGCACCTGACCACCCGTGTTCTGAACTGTCCCCGCTGTGTGCACCGACCACCCGTGTTCTGAACTGTCCCTGCTGTGTGCACCGACCACCCGTGTTTTGAGCTGTCCCTGCTGTGTGCGCTGGCCACCCGTGTTCTGGGCTGGCCTTCTTGTGCACGCAGACCACCTGGGTTGTGCACTGCTCTGGTACACGCCTGGACTACCCTTGCTTGAACTGCCCCCTGGCGTGCCCGGAGTATAGCTACCTGTGGTGCCCCTGAGCGCTTGAGCCATCACTACCCGTTGAGTCCCCGTGAACCCAATGTCCCTAGAAAGCTGGGTGGGAGCTGTGCTGAGGCCAGACTCCACAGCTAGAGTCCCGTTGAGTCCCCAAGACCCCTGCCCAGGGGTAGTTTGCACGCCTGTTGCCAGAGACTCCAATCCGCTGTGCAGTCACGGAGTGAGCTCGGCTAATTCCCAAAGCCTAGGGGTGAGATTGCCCGCCTGTTGCCCGAGACTCCAATCCGCTGTCCAGTCACGGAAGGAGCTCGGCTGAGTCCCCAAGCCTGGGGGGGAGATAACCTGCCTGTTGCCTGAGACCCCTGCCCAGGGGTAGGTTGCCCACCTGTTGCCCAGGACTCCAATCCGCTGTCCAGTCACGGAGGAAGCTCGACTGAGGCCCCAAGCCTAGGGGGGTATTATTGCTTTAATAAAGTTTTGTGTGTTCCCTACCTTCTCCATGTGCTCTGTCCTGCCTACGCTTCTGTTACAGTTAAATACTCATAGTAGCGTCTCTTTAAAGGCAGGGATTTGTAAATTACATGCAGAGCTATAGAAACAGTTCAACGCTTTTAGAAAGTAAGATTTATTACTAAAAGGTCAAAAGGGTGCAGTAGAAATATTTACAGAAAGAAGATGTAACCAATATATATATAAAAAATATACAGAGCAATACAGCACAGCAAACAGATAACAGAAAGAAGTTTAGGTAAATAAGTACTTGCCAAATAAATGCCTGGGGTTAAGCAGCTTCAGGTTTCATGAGCTCCAGGGTGATTTGCGTTGTCTCTACTGCTAATTCCGGTGACTCATGGCAGGAGACGTTGCTTTTGTCTGCAGATCTTGAAACACAGACCGTTCCCTCTCTCAGACTAACTCAAGAAGAGAGAAAGCTCTCTTTATCTAAGACAATTGCCCTGGAATGTTCCTATCACAGCCAAACCAATACCTTATTTGGCAAAAGGGATTATTAGGCAGGCTGCTTGAATTCCCGAGGGAGGGGAATGAGGGGATACATGAAACCTCCAGGTGTTCACCTAGGAATTGAAGAGAAATACCCAAAATGTATAATTTTGGAGCAGAATGGATGACCTGCACCTCTCCCTGTGTGCATGATTGTGACAGAAGCCTACCCCGCCCCCAGCTAATACTGGAATCCTCTACTCTTCCAACCACTCCATCCCCCACAGTTATTACCTTTTGTACCACTATCCCCTCCCTCCTAGATTGTAAGCTCCAAGGAGCAGGGCCCTCAAATCCCTCTTGTATTGAACTGTATTGTTACTGTACTGTCTCCCACCATAATGTAAAGCGCTGAGCAAACTGTCACTGCTATATAAATCCTGTATAATAAAAAAAAAAATAATAATGACTATGGAGGAAGAGGACGAGCATCACGGAGACTATGGAGGAAGAGGATGGACATCACGGTGACTATGGAGGAAGAGGACATGATGGGTGTTACTAGGTGTAAATATAAAATAAGAACTTACCACCTCCTCTGCTGCCTCCTCTCTACTTCCTACTAACTCACATCTCTGGAAACTTCCTTTTTAGACCTTTACATCACTTCCTCTCTGTCTATCACTTCCTGTCTGCACCTGTCACCAATTCCTCCCCATTTGTGGGATCACTTCCTGTGTCGGTACAATCAGGCTCTTCCTGTCTCCGTGTTCCACTCCATATGTCACCATCCGCTCTATAATAGGAAAGTTCTCCACCTTGACAGTAATGTCATTAAAGGGGGAGTCCCGTCTATTATCAGCATGTGATTATTATAAGAGAACAGGCTCTAGATCAGTGGTTCTCAACCTTCCTAATGTCGCGACCCTTTAATACAGTTCCTCATGTTGTGGTGACCCCCCACCATAAAATTATTTTCGTTGCTACTTCATAACTGTAATTTTGCAGTGGGAGGAGTAGTGCCACGTCATTGGTGTCAGTGGGAGGAATAGTGCCCCATCACTGATGTCAATGGGAGGAATAGTGCCCCATCATTGGTATCAGTGGTAGGAATAGTGCCCCATCATTGGTGTCAGTGGGAGGAATAGTGCCCCATCATAGGTGTCAGTGGGGGGATTAGTGCCCCATCATAGGTGTCAGTGGGGGGAATAGTGCCCCATCATTGGTGTCAGTGGGAGGAATAGTGCCCCATCATTGGTGTCAGTGGGAGGAATAGTGCCCCATCATTGGTGTCAGTGGGAGGAATAGTGCCCCATCATTGGTGTCAGTGGGAGGAATAGTGCCCCATCATTGGTGCCAGTGGGAGGAATAGTGCCCCATCATTGGTGCCAGTGGGAGGAATAGTGCCCCATCATTGGTGTCAGTGGGAGGAATAGTGCCCCATCATTGGTGTCTGTGGGAGGAATAGTGCCCCATCATTGGTGTCAGTGGGAGGAATAGTGCCCCATCATTGGTGTCAGTGGAAGGAATAGTGCCCTATCGTTGGTGTCAGTGGGAGGAATAGTGCCCCATCGTTGGTGTCAGGGGGAGGAATAGTGCCCCATCGTTGGTGTCAGTGGGAGGAATAGTGCCCCATCGTTGGTGTCAGTGGGGGAGGAATAGTGCCCCATCATTGGTACCAGTGGGAGGAATAGTGCCCCATCATTGGTGCCAGTGGGAGGAATAGTGCCCCATCATTGGTGCCAGTGGGAGGAATAGTGCCCCATCATTGGTGTCAGTGGGAGGAATAGTGCCCCATCATTGGTGTCTGTGGGAGGAATAGTGCCCCATCATTCGTGTCAGTGGGAGGAATAGTGCCCCATCATAGGTGTCAGTGGGGGGAATAGTGCCCCATCATTGGTGCCAGTGGGAGGAATAGTGCCCCATCATAGGTGTCAGTGGGGGAAATAGTGCCCCATCATTGGTGTCAGTGGGAGGAATAGTGCCCCATCATTGGTGTCAGTGGGGGGAGGAATAGTGCCCCATCACTGGTGTCAGTGGGAGGAATAGTGCCCCATCACTGGTGTCAGTGGGAGGAATAGTGTCCCATCACTGATGTCAGTGGGAGGAAAAGTGTCCCATCACTGGTATCAGTGGGAGGAATAGTGCCCCAACACTGGTGTCAGTGGGAGGAATAGTGCCCCATCATTGGTATCAGTGGGAGGAATAGTGTCCCCATCATTGGTGTCAGTGGGAGGAATAGTGCCCCATCGTTGGTGTCAGGGGGAGGAATAGTGCCCCATCGTTGGTGTCAGGGGGAGGAATAGTGCCCCATCGTTGGTGTCAGTGGGGGAGGAATAGTGCCCCATCGTTGGTGTCAGTGGGGGAGGAATAGTGCCCCATCGTTGGTGTCAGTGGGGGGAGGAATAGTGCCCCATCGTTGGTGTCAGTGGGGGGAGGAATAGTGCCCCATCGTTGGTGTCAGTGGAGGGAGGAATAGTGCCCCATCGTTGGTGTCAGTGGGGGAGGAATAGTGCAACATCGTTGGTGTCAGTGGGGGGAGGAATAGTGCCCCATCCTTGGTGTCAGTGGGGGGAGGAATAGTGCCCCATCGTTGGTGTCAGTGGAGGGAGGAATAGTGCCCCATCGTTGGTGTCAGTGGGGGGAGGAATAGTGCCACATCGTTGGTGTCAGTGGGGGGAGGAATAGTGCCCCATCGTTGGTGTCAGTGGGGGGAGGAATAGTGCCCCATCATTGGTGTCAGTGGGTGGAGGAATAGTGCCCCATTGTTGGTGTCAGTGGGGGAGGAATAGTGCCCCAACGTTGGTGTCAGTGGAGGGAGGAATAGTGCCCCATCGTTGGTGTCAGTGGAGGGAGGAATAGTGCTCCATCGTTGGTGTCATTTGGGGGAGGAATCGTGCCTCATCGTTGGTGTCAGTGGGGGGAGGAATTGTGCCCCATCGTTGGTGTCAGTGGGAGGAATAGTGCCCCATCATTGGTATTAGTGACACCAATGATTGGGCACTATTCCTCCCACTGACACCAATGATACTTACCTTGCTGACCCTTGCTCCAGCCTGGGCTCGCTCGCTCCCTCCCTCTCCCATGGTACAGACACTTACCGGTCACCTGTCTTCCTTCTCCGGCCGCTCTCCTCCTCTTCACTCGCTCGATCTTCGCGGTGCCGCTCGGCTCCTCCTCTCCAAGCTCCACCTCTTCGCCGGTGATTGGCCGCCTGTGTGCCTCTCCTGAGCTACAGTTCCGGCGGCCAATCACCTGCTAGGATTGATCCCAGGGGTGTGTCCAGATGACAGGGACGGCATGTCATCCCGCCCACACCTGGAGACGGATAGAGGAGCGGTGTCTCGGTTCCTAAGACCATCGGAAATATGTGTTTTTCCGATGGTCTTAGGCGACCCCTGTTGCCTAAGGGGTCGCGACCCACAGGTTGAGAACCGCTGCTCTAGATGGACAGTTGGATAAATGGCTCTATATTTAGGATGTATCAGGTCTATAAACTAGGGGCTCTAGATGGACGGTTGGATAAATGGTTCTATAGGATGTATCCAGTCTATAAACCAGAGGCTCTGGCTGGACGGTTGGATAAATGGCTCTAGATTTAGGATGTATCCGGTCTATAAACCGGAGGCTCTAGATGGACGGTTGGATAAATGGTTCTATATTTAGGACGTATCCGGTCTATAAACCAGAGGCTCTGGATGGACGGTTGGATAAATGGTTCTATATTTAGGACGTATCCGGTCTATAAACCAGAGGCTCTGGATGGACGATTGGATAAATGGTTCTATATTTAGGACGTATCCGGTCTATAAACCAGAGGCTCCGGATGGACGGTTGGATAAATGGCTCTATATTTAGGACGTATCCGGTCTATAAACCAGAGGCTCCGGATGGACGGTTGGATAAATGGCTCTATATTTAGTATGTATCTGGTCTATAAACCATATTTCATACATTTAGATGTAGCAT